TTAGTATTTACATGACCTTTCTGTATTTCTTTGTGACAGTGACCAACCAGCCACCCATGCAATTCCTGATGCAGGATAGTAATGCAACTGTACGCTTACCATTGCTGCACAGGTCTACTGGCCTCTTTATCGGAGAGAGAAAACCATTCTCCTTATTCACTGGCTCTACACTCTGTATACCTCTATCAAGTCTCCACTCATTTGCCATTTTTTCTAAGCTGAACAATTTCAGTTGTTAGAACTTTTCTTCATGGAACAGTTGGCATTTTAGAGAAAGCCACCTTGGTGGTCCTGGTTTTCAAGCATCTATTTAGCAGCCTAAATTTGGCTTCCAGGATCTCATAACCACATTTGCATATGTTACTGGTACCAACACGAACCAAGATCACTGATTCTATCCCAGCACTCTCTACAGAACCTTTGTAACAAACAAGCAATTTACCATGCAGTCTACACTCCCCTCATAATTCCAGTTATCTCTGTGTGTAATGATCCAGTCTCCCAATTCTGTAAGCCCTTCATCCCTATGAAACACATCTTTAGCATGCGAGGATATTTACCCATCATCTGAGTCATGGGCCCCTTCTAAACAACCATATCCCTCTTCCTCAGAATGATGCCTTCCTCCTCCAAGACCCCCATTTTCCATGACAGAGAATGAATTGTCACCCAGGAATGCAGACACTAGTGTTTGATCCATGAAGGTCTCATCCATCTACCTCTTTGCCTTTCTTAGCTTCTCCAGAAACCTTAGCTTCAGTGGAGTGAACTTGTTCCCTGAGAGCCAGGAGTTCACTACACCAGCACACACCCACGATTTCTGACCAGCTGGCAGATGCTCATACATGTGCAATAGTGCTATATGCTGGGTATCCCCATACTCCCTCTGGCTTTCTACCTTCATAACTGGGTTGTTGCTGCAATTGTTTGGTTGATATTATTGGAGTTTACCTGGAAAACTAACTTGTTTGCTAGAAGAAGGCAGAGAATTTATCCACATGCATTAATTTACACTTTACAGTTCCTTACTATGAGAAAGTTGGGAAGGGTGAACTGCCCTGGCCTTTTCACCTTGTTGCCAGATTCACACAGCCACTTAGCTCATTTGTATTCAGTGGTCATCAAGACAGTTTTGTGTCTACTTTTCCCTTATTCTCCTTCCCTTAAAGGATTTGTACTTTCGCCAAGCATGGGATTTTCTCAAGCACAATGAGGTCTCTCTCTTGTGTTATATTTTGGCTAGATAAAAATTGACACCAGAACAATGAAATTCAGTATTAGTATATATACGATGAGACTCTGGAGAGAGAAATTCCATGGTTGTAGGAATTTTGCATTTGAAAAGCAGCCACCTGCTCAAGCACAAGGCTTGACTAGCAGACCAAAGAGAAGAATCAGGGAAAATTTGGAAATTCCAGACAGATCAGAGGTTAGAGACAAATCAGGCAAAAAGAAGGCAAAGGCAATGCAGCAAACAGTTCAGCCAGGAAGGATATTCAATAGGAAGCCCACAGGGTGCTCAGATTGTATTTAGTCTACTGAGCCATTAAGGATGAAGGGAGGAGGACTGGAGCCAGCCCAGGAAGGTAAACATTGTTTCCAGAAAGCCTTCCAGTTCCTAACTGTTTTTCTTAAGCAAAAGTTGCCAAATTGTTAGGAGCTTCTGGAAAGTGGGTCCCCTTGAGCCCCCTTATTCCCAAGGAGTCCTCTGCTATAGCTCTAGGCATTTGCTCTCCCTCTTCAGTCTGTCATTCCTGCGGGGTTGGCAGTCTCTCCTCTTCTAATCCTGAATCTGAGTTCCCTTATTCTATGGGGTTGAGTGCTGGGTGATTATCACTATGGATCCAGGCTTTCAAAGCTCCTGAAGCAACTGCTGCAGGTCCTGGATCTTCCTCCATGGAGGAAGCCACCAGTGGGGTCATGAAACTGTGCCAAGCCATTCTCAGCTTTCTGAAGCAGAAGTGGGAAAATGTCAGATCAATGTACACCAGTGATTCACTTGTTCATTGGGCTTATTTGTATGGGCCATTGAAAGCCACAGCATCAGTATTTCTGTCTACAATGGAATTTCTGGTTGAAATTTCTATTGATTTTATTTATTATTTATTTATTCAAAACATTTGTGTGCTACCCAATTGTGCCACAGCACACTTAAAGGGAAATATGTTGTCCTCCAGTACAGAGGTGAATAAAGGCAATAAAAGCAAAGATCAGGGTCAGCAAGGAGAGCTGACTATGGAAAATTATAGGTAAGTCTAACCAGGATTAGCATCAGCACATACTCTTCATATATGTACAACATATTTGGCTACAACATACAGACCAAAAAACTACCATCTCATTTTGTGTATTTTAGTTGAAATATCACTCTCAATAGCATTGCTAAGTTGCCATAGTTGCAGCTGCCCCCTCCCACCCGGCACATGACATGGGATGTGTGAGGATTCCGTCTGGTTATGGGAATCCGTTGGATTCCCTAGGCTTGGATTCCAGTCCATTTTGCCTCAACCCTGAGTCTGAGTTCCAGGCAGGTACCTCCAATGTTCATTACCTCACCAGGAATCAAGCCACACGTGCTGCCCAAGCAGCATCCCTCTTTCATGCCTCATGTAGCAGCCCTGCTGTACCTGGCACAAAAGAAGGTTGTTTGCATGGATGGAGCCCCATGCACCCACTTGCCAGGATGGAACCTCATGCAGCCACTGCCCAAGTGGCATCTCTCCCCCATGCCATCTGCAGCAACCTCTGTGCTGCCATACCTAACACGGAAGAAGGTTGCTGGTTGCACAGGTGTTCACAGGCTTCCTCTTGGCTCAGCCTGGCTTGCTTTCTAAGACCAAGCTGGACATGAAAGGAAGTTCGCAAATGCTAGAGGGACAGATTCTGGTAGGTTTCATCCCACCCCTACCCCAGTCTTTTTTGGGCTGATGGGCACATTGGAGAGGGTCTTGTGGATAGTCTTACAAACTGAAAGGACATGTTGGAGGGTGGCATTTAATATTGCAATATATCAGCTTCCCAGTTATTTTTTTTTAAATCTTATGAAATGAAAGTCAGGTGAGTTAGGGAGCCTGGCAGGTGGCAACAGAAATGTTTCTAAGGGCATATTGGTGCCCAAGGACACCAGGGTGGTATTGCTGATGCAGCAGCTAGCACAGTTGTGTATCCCATAGCCAGTGAGGGAGAAAACGATGGTTCCCTTTTCATTGTGCAAGAGCTCAGTACTCACTGCAAAAAGCAACAGCAACTATTCTGAGCATTCCCCTCCTCACCTACTTTCTTTTTTTCTAAGTCACAGAGATATATTGTCACAGTCACTGTGTGGGTGGTGCACACACTGGGCTAGAGTGACTACACAATTGACATCCTATGATCTCTTCATCAATGATAAAGACAGAAGTACCACTTCCTTAATGTTAATGTGATCTTACAGTTAAGTGGGGTAGAATGGATCTACCTGCTTTGCTGGCATGGTAATTTATTTTAGTCAATGACTGCATTCCAGGAATTTTCAAGTAAGTGCAAAGTAAGTGGGAATACACCTTTTATAGCTGGTCTCTTCACAAGAGATGATGGAAATTCAAATGGAGTGTCTGTCATGGTGTAGAGTAAAAATTGATAAAGAATAGTGCTAAGGATGCCATTTAGTTTGAACACATTCCCTGAGAAGATTTTGGACATTTTCATTTATGAAATAAATGATTAATGAAGGCATGACAAAGAGTTAAAACTATGAATAGTTTGGAGAGAATGGATAGGAACTATTCTCTTGTTCTCTTTCAAACAAAATAAAATGTCATGTTATGATTAACAATGCATTCAGAAGGGGGAAGAAATAACTGCTCCTTTCTTTTCCTACAGATTAACATATTATTAAAAGTAAATTAATCTTACTATATACAATTAGATAAAGAATTAAGAAACTGAAGAGGAGGTGGCACTACTCCAAGCCACTACCCCCTGAAGCTGTTTGCAATTTCTGAGGAAACAAATTTCTAATGAAGGAGAGAAACATAAATCTGTGGTGGTGTGGGTTGACCTGTGCCTGGTAACTGTCGGGATCTCATGCTGAGACATTCTCTGCACTCTGTTTCCCTGCCATGAGCATAAGAATAGGACTCTAAAGGGTCTATCCAGAACTCCAGCCTGAAGGAATTGTTCCGAGATGCAACTGCTGAGGAGCTGTCCAGCATTTCAGCAACACGGCACTTCACTCCGGATTCTCAGCTTGCAGTAGAGCATCCAGAGCAGAGTACCTAAGGAAGGATGCACAAAGGGAGGAGAAAGCCTTAGTTAACAAGGTAAGGGAGGAGAAGGGATTCTAATGATTAACTAAAAATTCATACCATCATTTATACAGTAAACTGCATGTGAATATTTTAGAACAGAATGTCTGGGAAAGGGTGAATGAGCAAGGAGGTGTAAGCTGAGTATGTAGACAGAAGAGAGTTTCATTTAGGATCCTTCGTTACAGGAGCATGCTTTTTAGATTTGCATGTTATGCTGCCTGAAAGCAATCTGTGAAGCATGTCACCCTCTGTGAAATAAGAAAATAATGCAGGTACATGCACAGACAAATGTGTACTTAATGATAAACACATATTTCTTTGAAATATAGAGTTGCATTTTTTTTAAAAAGGGAAAATCCATGGATGTGTTGGAATGTATATTTATTGTTGTTTAATATTTATTTTTGTTAGGACATCTGGAGAGTAGGAGTGGTGCAAAGTGCAAAGATACAAAGGATGTATGATGCAAGAACAGTTTGAATGAAGGGCTATATCATCAAAAAAGAATATTCTAGGAAAGGTAACCTGCATTAGGATTAGCTTATCCCAAGTACCTTCAAGGAAGAAAAGCACTGAAACCAGTCTCTGATGCACTGCAGTCCAAATGGATTGATCTCATCTATGAAATTTTGTAAAAGGGCCAAGCCAAACTTGCTTTACCTAAACTGAACAGCATTTATCTAATGAGACTGATCATTCTCATTCTAAGTAATGGATAATATTTCCTCACAGCCTGAGCCCAATGCTTCCTGCACAGATGTGGGTGTTGGTTGTTACAGGACTGGGCACCATTGGCATAATATGTCAGCCCCACTACTGATTCCTAAATTCTACATTGCTGTGCCCATCATATACTCTGTGATATGTGCTGTAGGACTCACTGGAAATTCTGCAGTTATTTATGTTATCTTAAAAGCTCCCAAAATGAAGACAGTCACCAACATTTTCATCCTCAATCTGGCAATTGCTGATGAGCTTTTTACGCTGGTGCTTCCTATCAATATAGCTGACTATCTGTTGCTTCAATGGCCATTTGGTGAATTCATGTGCAAATTGATTATCTCCATAGACCAGTACAACACTTTTTCAAGCATTTATTTTCTAACTGTCATGAGCATCGATCGATTCCTTGTGGTGGTGGCCACAGTCAAATCAAAGAAAATGTCCTACCGCACCTACAGGGCTGCTAAGACAGTGAGTCTATGTGTATGGGCTTTTGTCACCATCATCATTTTGCCATTTAGTATCTTTGCCAAGATACATACTGAGGCGGGGCGGTCCCAGTGTGTCTTTGTCTTTCCCAATCCAGAGAGCTTCTGGTGGAAGGTGAGCCGTCTCTACACCCTGATCTTGGGTTTTGCCATCCCTGTGTCCACTATTTGCATCCTATACAGCATCATGCTCTACAAACTCAGGCGGATGCGTCTCCACAGCAGTGCTAAAGCTTTGGACAAAGCAAAAAAGAAAGTGACCATCATGGTGCTGATCATCTTGGGAGTTTGCCTGTTCTGCTGGACACCCTATCACCTCAGCACTGTGGTTGCCCTCACCACAGACATCCCCCAAACCCCTCTGATAATTGGAATCTCTTATTTCATCACCACACTGAGCTATGCTAACAGTTGCCTCAACCCTTTCCTTTATGCCTTTTTAGATGATGCTTTCCGGAAGAGCTTCCGGAAACTGATCGAGTGTGGAACTTCCTCATAAAAACTCCAGTCTCTCTATGGCCCTCTTAAGTCGAAGTGATGCATTTTGAAGAAGCTTTGGAAAGCATGACCGGAAGGGAACAGCTCTGGCCATGCACGGTGTCTAAAATGTTACAAACTGAAAAGACATGAATTAGCTGTTCCTGTTCTTTAAGGAGTGCCACATTATTCCTGACTGGATGGATAAGCTTGCTGAATCACATAATACAACCACAAGAGAATTCTGTTTTCCTCTTTGTTTGTACACCATCTATTCACTGTAGATATCCCTTGGTATGGTATGCAACATGGTTTCTTGGAATGTTCAAAAGAAGTAGCAGAAACAGAATTGTAATGATACAATATGCACAGAAGAACATGAGCCAAGAAAGGTTATATGATGTTGATATTGCTAGAATTTTGTAAATCCAGATAAAGACATGAAGAGTGCCTTTTCTTAATGATTTGGAATGCTGCTGGTTTTCTGTGCTGATTCCTCAGTCATAGACAGTGCTATCTCTATTTTTCTTCCATTACCGACTAATTGTGTATTTGGCGAGTGTTATGTGGCCAATTTATATTTACTACAGCTCAGGTATGAGCTTTTTCTTGATGAGGAGTTCATTTCCTTGGAGGTAATATTAGGTGTCAAATGCCAGCTGTGGGCAGGACCTGAACCATTGGTGGGTGGGGCCAAAGTCAATAGTGGGCAGAGACACCCCTTGCCTCTCTGACCTGCTATTCCATGTTTCCTTGGTCTTTCTGCTACCTATCTCTCTCTCCCACCACTTTTTACTCCTATCCATATGGTTGCCAGGGCAGGGGCAGATGGTTCTTGCTAGAGGTTGAAACTGGTCACTTCCAGGGCCTTTAAAATTAAGACAAGGGCTGCATGTGATTCTGCTCTGGAGGTTGCCTCCCTTTCTACTCAAGCTTCCACTTAATAGGGCAGAAATTTCTCAATAGATGTGCTCCTAGTTTCTCTCTTCTTTCCTTGTATTATTTTTATGCTTCATTACAAGTTTGATATATGCTCTAATTCCTATTATTATTACAGAAAAATGCCGTAACTACTTTTTAAACTATTTTGTACAATTCTCTAAGTACAGATAGTTGAAAGCATTCTGTAAAAGCAAATGCCCTCTAGTATAAATGCCATAACTTTATCTTTTCTACATCTTTTAAAAAGCAAACTTATCCTTCTTTTTAGATGCTGAAGATACAGCCTCAGAAGTTAATGAACAATACAAAGTCTTTCACAATAACTTTAGAAAATTGGGGTGGGGAGCAGTTTCCACTATAAGATTTAACTACGCATGGCTCCTTGACAAGGATGTTTTGTTTTCTCCTCAAGTGCCAAGTGAAGAGGAAAAAGTCAATTATTCTGACTTGGAAATGTATCTTGAGAGCCACCTTCAGTAGGAAGGAAAATTTTCAGGCCAAGCACAGTGAACTACCCTAAATACCAGAAGAGCTAAATATACAGAATCTTTAGGAGCTTCAGATAGGCTTTCTTACAAAGCTCTATCAAGAGTTAAATGATGTCTGTCAAATTCCAAATACCTATCCAGAAAAAGTTTGCTGATATCTTGTCAAAAGTAAGGAGGTGATTCCAGTCAATGAATGCATCATGATCCTATGATGAATACATCCCTCCAGTATGGTCTTCCTCAATTTGGCTCCCTTCAGAGTTTTTGGACTCCCATCAATCTTAAACAACATGGTCTTAATCAACATGTTCTATGTGTTACTTCCAGACCCATAAAATTTTGCTTTACAGAATCTATCCTTTGCATTGGTTCATACCCAGAAGGAATACTGAAGATACATATTAGCAAATCAAGTAGTAGCCACAGTATTGATGAACTGGTATAATCTGCAACAGAATAAACTTGGTTGTTTACTTCCTCTCTCCCAGCTCCTTCATGCAATCACCTGCGTATAAGATGAGAGCAGTAGTGTGATGGTGCCTTTCTTGTTCAGGTATCCCTCACCCTGCTTGCTGTCATGGCTTAGTCTTGAGACTGAAGTTTGCCAACCTCTTTTCAATAAGCAGGTGATCTTATCGCTCCAAGATGTTGAAGGTTTGGAGTCAATAAGGCCACCACTGGCCAAGGTTTCCCTCAAGTCTGCAATCAAGGAGAGATTGGTTTGAGTAAGTGTCCTTTCACTCCTGTGATGCCCAATGAAGTACCCTACACATCCCTCACTTATCCAAGTTATTGAGTGTCATGCCTGAGAAAGCAACCCACTCAAACGCGATTCCTTCCATGTTCAGTAGGCAAGGGAAAGAAAAAGAATTACCCACAGCCAGTCAGAAAAGGAGCAAAATTACTGCTTGACCCTGCCAACAGCAGTTACCACTGATGGTCACAAAGTGAGCAGATAAGCAGGCAGACTGACTGTCAGGCCCAGGAGAAGCACAAACATTTGAATTTACATTGTCCCTATACTTCCCTTCACCAAAGGGTGACTGGTCAGTCATCCCAAATGATGAGCACACCGAATTGAATGCATGCAACAGGAGGGAGGCACAACAGTGTGCTTTGCAACTGCAACCAGTAACATTCACAGCAGCTGAAATGTCTGGCAAGGGAATAAAACTACTGGCTACTGGCCATGATGTTTATATGAACTTCCAGGATCAGAGACAACATGTGTTTCAATAACAGTTTCTGGAAACCAGTGGTGGGCAACTACTGCTTGTGGTCTTCCCCTGAGCACCTGCTTGGGAAACACGATGTGGAATAGACCTTCTCTTCCTCCTCCTCTTCCTCTTCCTCTCCTGTGGTAGTGGTGGTAGTGGTGATGGTTGTTGCTGCTGCTGCTGTTTATATCATTTCCATACTGCCTGTTCAGGAAAACTCTCTGAACAATTCACAGCTCATAATCATACTAATATAATACTAAGAATGCATACAATAAAATACAGTATAAACTTTTCAATATACATAATTTACAACAGTTTAAACAACTGAAACAATTTTCAATAAAACTAGATCTATTAAAACAACTGGCATGTCCTGGAGGTCATCAACGCCTCTCTGAAAGATGGCCAGGTGCCTGCCCCTTTAAAGGAGGTGGTGGTCAGGCCGGTCCTAAAGAAGGCGTCCCTGGATCCAGAGATGGCCACCAATTATAGACCGGTGGCCAACATCCCGTTCTTGGGCAAGGTGTTGGAACGGGTGGTGGTGGGACAACTCCAAACTCTCTTGGATGAGACTGATTATCTGGACCCATTTCAGTCCAGCTTCAGACCTGGGTAAGGTACTGAATCTGCCTTGGTCGCCCTGTATGATGACCTGTGCAGGGAGAGAGACAGGGGGAGTGCGTCCCTGTTGGTTCTCCTGGACCTCTCAGCAGCTTTCGATACCATCGACCATGGTATCCTTCTGTATAGGCTAAGGGGGCTGGGAGTAGGAGGCACTGCTTGGTCATGGTTCCGCTCCTACCTCAATGGCTGATTCCAGAAGGTGGTGCTGGGGGACTTTACCTCTGTGCCATGGCAGCTATGCCATGGGGTACCACAGGGGTCCATTCTGTCCCCCTTGCTATTTAACATTTACATGAAACCGCTGGGAGAGGTCATCCGGAGGTGTGGGCTGCGGAATCATCAGTACGCTGATGATACCCAGCTCTACCTCTCTTTTTCAACCGATCCAGGTGAGGCAGTGGCTGTGCTGAACCGGTGCCTGGCCGAGGTAATGGGCTGGATGAGGGCCAATAAACTGAAGCTCAATCCAGACAAGATGGAGGTTCTGCTGGCGGGTGGTTCAAACTCCTGGGTAGGTGACTTGGATCTTGTCCTGAATGGGGTTGCACTCCCTCTAAAGGAGAAGGTCCACAACTTGGGAGTGCTCCTCGACCCTGAGCTGTTGTTGGAAGCTCCAGTGACGGCGGTGGCAAGGAGCACTTTCCATCAGCTTCGGCTAATCCATCAGCTGCATCCCTACCTGGAGGATGATTGCTTGGTGACAGTGACACATGCATTGGTTACTTCCTGATTGGATTTCTGTAACGCGCTCTACATGGGGCTGCCCTTGAAGACAGTCCGGATACTTCAGATGGTGCAAAATAGAGCAGCCAGGTCACTGACGGGGACTGGGCATTATTCTCCCCAGTCCTCTACCCCAGTCCTCCACCAGTTTCACTGGCTTCCCAACAAAGTCCGGGCTCAAATCAAGCTGTTGGTAATCACCTATAAAGCCCTTAATGGCTTGGGACCTGGATACCTAAAGGAACGCCTGCGTCCATATTTGCCCTCTCCTCCAGGAGCCCTCCATGAAACTCATCAGGAAGCAAAGTACCTGGAGGAGGGCTTTTACTGTGGTGGCGCCCCATCTGTGGAATGCAGTCCCCAGAGAGGTCCACCTGGCGCCGGCGTTATTTGTTTTTCGGTGCCAGGCTAAGACTTTTTATTCAAACAATATTTTAACAATTTTAATATTTATTGGTTTTAATTGTGCAGGGTGTTTCCGGGTTTTTTAACTATGCTTGTATGATATTTATTTATTTCTGTGAGCCATCCCGAGGCTATATAGCAAGGGGACGGCATACAAAAACTTTAAATAAATAAATAAATAAATAAATAAATAAATAATATGTCATTAAATGCCTAGAAGAGGAGGGCAACCTTAACTGAGCACTGAAGGATACCAGCGTTGGTGCTAGGCAGGCTTTAGGGGCCATTATTCCATAGCAGGGGTGGGGGAGTCACCACTGAAAAGACCCTTCTCCTTGTTGCTTCTCTCCAGACAGTATGTAGGTCACAAGGTCCAGGGGAGATTGAGGTAGGGAGAAGCATTTCATCAGGTATTACAGTATCAAGGCATGTAAGACTTTCTGTGTTAAAACCAGCACCTTGAACTGTACCTGAAAGCATTTACAGTGGCTGGCAGAAATATTCAGATCCAAAACGGGGCAGCAAGGCTGTTAATAGGGAGTGGCTCACAAGAACTTCCTATGCCAGGCCTCTTCCAGCTACACTGGCTACCAGCTGAAGTCCAGCCCCAGTTCAAAGAC